GAAATGAAAGTGAACTACACAACTATAAATGAAAAGGCAAGACCATAAGACTATACACAGTAGAATACCATTTTGACCTTTGTCAAGCACAAAGCCAAACAAGATATTGTATAGGAAAGAATGAAAATATATGTGATAAAATTAAAATAAATATAAGCAGAAGAATGATTCAAGATTTCCAAACAGTGGTTAACTTTCATACAGATGAGAAGCGATTATGGTAGGGAGGTTGGGGATAGTCAAGGGGCGGGGCTAGTAAGGAGATGCAATTGTAGTAATAATATCCAATTTCTTAAGTTATGTGTTAGCTTTACCAGTTTGTACATTTTATCATTTTGTGATATAACACATATATTTTACAAATATTCTTGTGTATGACTCACATTAGAATAAGATGCTCTTAAAACCAATAGCATTATGTAGAAATGGCCATTTTTTTCATGATGAACTGTCTCCATTTAACTATAAATATTTCTTGTATAACATGGAATGTTCCTATTTAATAAATTTCACCTTTCATTACTGTAAAGAAATCTTTCCTGGTTCATAATTAAATGACTTTCATCTTTTCTTCAGAAATCATTCAGACATGCAGGAATGTAACACATTAAAGACCTTTTATTTTCATGTTCAGACTAGGTTTGGACCACAATTAATTTTTATCTTCTTTTTTTTTTAATTTTATGAGGCATGGATTGCTTCATCGTGTTTCTATCTCCATAGAAAATGTTCAACTGGCTTTCACCCTTTGATGAAAGAATATAAAATAAGCAGTGATATATATTCTCATTTGATTGTTTTATGCTCCACTAGGTGGAGAAAATGCATCTACCATATCTAGTACTAATGATAACAGAGTATATTATAACATATCAATTTAGCATTGTCAAAAAATATAGAGGAATTAGTAATATAATTTACATTTCCACAAATTTACTCATTAATTTCTTTAATCCATCTAACATTTTTTGAACATCTGTTATGTTGTGCTGAGTGATGATAAATGGAAAAAAGAGCTTAATATTACAGGATGATATAGGGTATGAACAAAGAATGGGGCTGACACAGAGAGAGGAGCTATCAATTCCTCCAGGAGATCTTTGACTGGCTTGATAGATAAGGAAAAGAGTTGAGCTGCCACTTACAGAATGAATGAGAGTTCTCCAGCTAAACATGATACAAAAATATAATTTCCTAGCAGAGCGATCATGTACTAAGGCAAAGAAATGGAGAAGAAAAAAGAAATTGTAACTTTTTGGCGCATTGAAGTGGTGACAAATTACCATCTTCTCACCACATAGGAATGCGGGACAAAATGTCACACACACACGCACACAAACACACACGCACACTAGAGGAACTCAAAAGCTGGGGGGGGGGAAATCCTCTAGATCTGGGAAAGAAAAAACTATCTCAAAAAGCTAGACAGCTCTTCTCTTCCTAGGGAACAAGAGGTACTGATTCTACCGGTATGAATATTCCCACTCTTGGTCATCCTCCCCTGCCCCACCAACCATGCAACGCACCAGGTATGTGGGGGCTGGAGCTGAACATGTATTCAGGCATATTAGATACAATCATAAAACTGGAATCCCAAAAGGGCAGCATTGTCCACAAAATGAGAAACCACAGAAACAATCAAACTTTCTTTGAACATGGGCTCAAAAAAGCAAGAAAGAAGCACACAAAATTTGTTCTAGGTTAGAGGGAAGAGGAGAAGAGAAATTGATCTGAGCAAAAATTATAATCAGTACTTAGAAATAAATTTCTAAGGGTAAAAATTCATAGAACAGAATTAGCATGATAAACAATGTACTAGATTACACCACACTAATACGGTAGGTATGATTGTAAACATCATGCTCATATGTGATAGAAAAATGTGCATGAGACCATAAAGTGAGTGTTTGCAATGATTAAAGGAATAAAGGAAGACACTGACAGCATAATGAAAAAACAAAGGAACTTGGAAAAGAAAGATTTCTAAAATATAGTAATAGCCTTTTAGAAATGAGAATTATGATTGAAATGAACAGTTCAAACAACTGATGAGAAAATTGGTAACATACATGATAAATCTAAAGAAATTATCCCAAGTACAGCATATAAAATATTTAAAACAATTGAAGATTAAGATTAAGGTGGACAAGAGTATAAATTATGTTTAACCCACTTATATTTAATATAATTGATGATTTGTATCATCTTTATATCATCTGTTTTTTTTAATGTCACCATGCTGTTTTCTTTTCTTTCTGTTATCTCTTTGCCATATGAACTTTTCCTTTTTGCTTTAATATTATTTTTGCTCAATACCAGATTTTTAAAAAATCTCTTAAATTTTACTTTATCAGTTCAGCTCATTAACTTTATCTATTTATTTATTTTGTTAAGAACATGTAAGTAGTCCATTTTTGAGCACTTGTGCTAAAGATTTTTTTTAAATCCCCTTTGTTGGTAATAACCATAATTCTACAACACCTGCCCTTCAAAACTCTGAAGATATTAGTACATTTTTTCACCCCTGATATTTAGTGCTGCAAAGAATGAGACTGAGGCTAGACTGATTTTAGTCCTTTTTACTTAATCTGTTTCCCCTAAATGGATGCTTGTAGAATTATGTTTTATTTAAACGTACATTTCAATTTTCTATGTTATGTCTAAATATGTTTCTTCATACATTTTGTCTAGTAATCATTTAGCACTTTCTAACTCAAGGTTTTAATCAACATCAGAAAATTAAGTTCAACTGTGCCTTTGATTAATCCTTTTGTAGTTGTTTTGGTTTCTCCTTTGATGATATTTATAATTATTAGGTGATATCACTTCAAATGATTTCTTATCATACTTTGGTTTCTTTTCATCACAGCTCATTATCTTTGTATCTCAGCCTGTTGTCCTTTCATCTTTTCCTACTCTATCATGATGGCTTTCTGTTTCTGGAAATTTTGCTTACTTGATACTACTACGCTTAAAAAATAGATTTCTATAATATTTTCCAGGTAACTATAATTCAGATTACTGTGAAATGTCAGGATCATGCTCTCTTTATTTGCTTTCTTTCTTTATCTCTATAGTTTGCATTTGTTCTTCTTTTAAAATCTTAGTATTGATAGTTTTTTGTGTTTTTTTTCCTTAAGACACCAAATAGGATTTTGTTTTTTTCTTATCCTTTAATGAATACTTGTTTATCCACTTTTAGTTTGGCAGCCATTTGAATTTCTCAGATTTGGAGGACGGATCCATGTGAATAATTTCTAAACCGATTGTTAGTGTTCATTCATCTCTACTGAGTATAACTCCTCTGGACTGAGATGTAATCTTCTCCGACCTGCACTAACTGATTTTCCAGTGCTGTGAACCAACTGAATGTATGAGAATGTGCATTCATTTCTATTAGGACTCTTTATTGCCTCTACCTTTATTCTTATGCTTGCAGGAATTTCATTTTTGACAATGCTGTATGCTGCCTGCAGTTTCTACTTTCTGCTCTGTTGTTTATGAGAGTCATGGAAATTTAACAAAGGAGGGTCAAAGGAAAACTGATAGGATCACTTCCAAAAATGTTATCTGTGTATTACAGAGATAAATTTATATTCTCATCGATATATATATAGACTATGGGGTCAAGTAATAGGGGCAGACAAATTGTTACTTCTATTATTTTTCTGGCAAATGGAGCTGCTTTGTTTAATGATGTAAAGTACATATCAGTCACAAATTACTTTTATTAATTGTTTGCTAGCCACCTGACAGACAGTAGATCCTAACAACAAGCTACTAGTCAGAATCAATTTTTAGGGTTAAGTTCTTGTAATTAAAATATATACAGAGGATGCCAAAAAAAGTATACACATTTTAAGAAAGGAAAACTGTGTTAAAATTGGAATACTCAATATATACCAATAACGAAAGATGAATACAAGACACGTTTGACTTCTGCAATTACAAGAGGTGCTCAAAGTGGTTACCATCAGAGTCCAGACACTTCTGATTACGGCGAACTACTGCTTGAGCAACGTTGACCAAAGTGTCTACTTGTATACTTTTTTTGGCACCTCTGGTGTGTGTGTGTGTGTGTGTGTGTGTGTGTGTGTGTGTGTGTGTGTGTGTGTTTTAGAAGATATTTAAAAGATAATGTCAATTTATTAGACTGATACATTTTATTTTTAAATTTTTATTAAATTTATTGGGGTGATATTGGTTAGTAAAATTATATAGGTTTCAAGTGTACCTTTCTGTAATACATTTTCTATATATTGAATTACATTTTAAATTGGAAACTTCAGGATATTTCTGGTTTGAAATCTTACTTTACCACAATATACAGGTACATGGGTTAACTAAGTTGCCACTTGGGAATATATATATATATATATATATATATATATATATATATATATATATACACACACACACACATATATATATATATATATATATATATATATATATATATATATACACACACACACAAATATATATACATTAAATTTGAGTCTATATACTATATATATATATATACATAATACAAATATATATATATATATATATTGTATTATTTGTATTGGTGGGGATTTTGTTTAATTATAAACATTAGAAGAGGGAGGAATCCACCTATATGAAAAATATAGACTCAAATTTAATTTGTTTTGGAAAAGGTAAGGTTAATCGTATTCCTACAATACCAGAACACTCTTAAATATAGAAATTAAAATTACAATATCACATCTTTGTAATTAATCATACCATAAATTCTTTGAAAGCAAGGATTAATTTTACTTCTTTTGTATTGGTTGTGTGGCATAGCATACTTTCGGGCCCATCACAGCAAAAATCATTACCTTTTGTGGATCTGCAACATTTTATTTTCACGTTAAAAACATTTCATAATACTTTAATACTTATATTTAAGTACAAGACATCTGATTACATTTTTTAATCATTTAAGTATCTTTGTATACCATCAATTCATTTAGAGATATTAGGGTCTGACTCACCGGTTGAGGTATAAAGGTACAATCCTGTTTGTTGTGGCACTAGCTGTTCTTTTATGATCTGTCTCAGATCCCATATTATTTTTATCTGGGTGCAGAGAACAAGGTAGGAAAACCGTGACTGGCTTCTGGAAAGGATGTGTTGATGGGTGCTGAATATGAACCAGAGGGCTGGTGGACAGTACTGGGTAGGAAGTATCTTGCTGTGTTTTTAAATATGCCACCAGTGATGGGTCAACAGGTTGGATCTAAACAAAGGAAAAAGATACATATTCCTTTACTTGAATAACGAAAGATGCCAAGTATCAGCACATTTCTCCACAAATTTACTGAAAATTTGATAGAACATAGTTTTAATACATTTCCCTACACATTGTTGGCTGGAATCAACACTGCATTAATTTATAAAAGAGCACAGCATTTGGTACCTTTTTACAAAGTCCTTCTAAAATCTAGGTTCCCTATCCTTTGTTATAAATAACTGAGAAACACTCTTAATTATAGGCAACAAAATGACCTAGAAAACAAAATAGACGTTTTACATAATTTCTAATTAGAACTATTGTTACATCAAGTGATCTTTAGAAACTGGAAAAACAAGACTATATTTACTTAAGTGTTTCTTCTCACAAAAGAATGATTAATAATTAAAAAAAGCTAACATTATTCCAAAATTTCAAAGTTTATGAAAAATATTTATAAAATTTCATTATTCATAATATATTTTCTTCCCAACTTTCCTTATTTGCTTACCACTTAAAGTAACAGCTAGGAGAAATACGAGAGCATGGGGGAGAGTTGAGGCTAGAAGGACGGGGAACATTGAAGAAATAATATATTCTAAAATGTAGATTGATACATCATTATATACCTTGCAAATAGTGTCTGTATATATTAAATTCTTTTAAAACCAGTCCTTCCCCAAAAGGGCTATTCTATACTCAAATATAACCAAATACTCAAAATTATAAATATTTTAATATATTAACCTCTTTTTGCCATCCACTCAGGTGGGAATCTTGAATCATACGAATGTCCAATGCCTGGCATCAATTCTATCATTGATACTCAACATATATTTTTGTTAATAAATATCATAAACAAAACAACACAAAACTTAGCTAGAAAACCTTTCCGGTAAAGCAGGGGTTTATTTTGAAGTGAGGCTCAATATGCTCCATATCTTCACTTTATCACTGATACTTCTGTATGTTAGGTCATTAAAAGTATAAGAGAAGAATTTATTTATTATTATATTAAATATTTGTATGTTCTTCATCTTTAAGACAATTTGCGATGGCCCAGAAAATTTATAAGGGACTCAAGAGGTTTTAATATTTACCTTTAATTGTACAAGCACTGGTGAGCTGAAAACTCCTGGAGGGTAACTTAAGGATATTCGAGAATCCATGCTTGGCTTAAGAGTAAGGCCTTTCTTTGTTACTGTGAAGGACTCTTTCTTTAAACAAGACACAACAGAAAAGATACCCAACTTGTAAACTTTCACTTCAGCACAGGTCCCCTGGGTGGAGGGAAGGATATTAAGACAAGGACATTAATACAACACTGTCCCGGGAGCGTGTACTGTACATACTTGTGGCTGCGAAAGAAATCTGTATGCTGTCTCTGGAAACTCCCACAACTGAGAATGATTCCATTAACCCCAAATGGAAGTGCCTTTCATGAGATGAAGTAGAAGCAGATAATTAGTAGTTTCTCAATTTTGAACTACACGATAGAAAAGAGACAAATCTATTTAGTTTTAAATTTAAATTGAATTCCAAAAAGAAAATGTGTATGTATAATGGGCAATCACATTCAGTGTTTTTAACAAATACTAATGACTTCTGGAATCCTACACTCCTTTAAACATTAGCCTTTATCCAAAAGATTCAATACTGTCTTAGGAATTCCAAGGACTGAAATTTCACCATTCGGGTAGTTGATGTAAATGCTGTCACACCTGTACTGTCAGTAAATTCTTCCTTCTGACAACTCACAGTCTCTCAGTAAAGTCATTTTCTCTGTTTCGCTCCTCCATGCAGTGGGAACGGTTGACTACAAAGAGACACATTGGTGTTTCTTTTTTATAGAATAACATTTAAATTTGTAATGCATGTATGCAGGCACTTATCCAAGCTTTTTTTTATCACACAAAAAAGGAACTGAGTACATAAATGAAAATAAAATTATCTACTCATATAATCTTAAAATGAGAAGGAAGATTTAGAAGTAATTTGATCTATTCCTGCTTTCCTGAACAGTAGCCAGACTCCACCCTGGCATGAGTGGATAATCATGCAGACACACACACACACACATTTCAGGGACAATCACAATGCAAAATAACCTGTCATTTGAAAACTGACTAAGGAAAAGATTTCACAATATGACTGCGTGAATCGTCCCTGGGAAATTCAGGGCATGATGAATGTTCTTAATTGGCTGGCAGGGAAATGGTGAGAGGTAAGAAAAGAGCGTCTTTTGGGAACCCATGGCGGTTGCCTCTCATTTCCAGCACATTTGGCAGATGCTGCGGAACCAGAAGGGTTTTTAAGCAGGGCAGTGTCATGAACAGAGCTCTGATGGTGGTTTATCTGACTCCAGAATTAGAATTCTTAAATGTCGTATGAACCACATAAAAATTTGGAAGGAATCCAGCATTTAAATTTTCTTGAGCTACAAATAAGAATAACTGCCATTAGAATATAAAAAGAAAAGTACATGCTTTTACTTTTCCCAGTAGATAATTGTTGTCTCTCTCTCTCTGTCTTGCTTTGTTGCTGTGTTTTTTTTGTTTGTTTTTGTTTTGTTTTGTTCTCATTTTGTGAGAAACGCATGTGCTATGAGCAGTGTTTGCTTTTATGAGAGTCACACAGACTGGCCAAGATTAAAAAGCCCCAGCCAAGGGCTGTTGTACTTGCAGGCTAAATAGGAAATGTATTAGTTGCACGACTTGGAGTAAATAATTAGAACAGCCTTAGCTTTTGTATTCAACTGTATAACTTTATATGTAACTCAAAAGACCCAAACTAGAAAAGGAAGAGATGTATTATAAAGAATTTCTTGTGTGCATGGAAATTTTTTATATGTATTTTCTGTCCTCCTCATAATAATGACAGCTTCGATAAAGTTGAAAAGACAAATATTTTGATTATTTCAAAATAAGTTCAGTGGCCCACAGAAGAACCTTAAATCTTAGTCCCCATCAACTCTATGCTAAGTTTAATAATTGTGTTTATTCTCTCTTCAAAACATAGGAATATGTGACTATAGAGGGCCTCAGATTTATTACAATAAAGTCTACCATGAAAAATAATTTATTAGCTCCTAACGTGTTTTTAGGCTTTCTTTTATCTTCTTATGTGTATGGCATTTTCTCATTTTTATCCTTGTGACCCTATCAGGTAGAATCTGTTAGTTATTCATTTTTCAGGTGAAAAAATTGAGTCATAGCAATGTTACATAATCTACCTGAGTTCCCATAGCAAGAAAGTATAGGAACCAGATTTCAAACCCAGCCAATCTTCCTTTACAACGTGCATCCTAACCACTACATATATTGTCTCCCATGTGCAGGCTAAACACAATTTGTAGACTTAACTGTCTTCAGGCGCACACACACACACACACACTCAATTACATAATTATTTGTTTTTAACATATATCCTCTTCCCATAAATGATAAAAATAAGGCTTTTATCATCTGGGGAATCTAACATTCTTAAATTTAGGTTCTTCACAATAGAAATGTTAGTGTAAAGCTAGTCTAAGGTGTGAAGCTAATTAAACCATGACAGTGGATTTGTTTCCCAGGTGAAAATATGACATTTGCTGGGTCCTACACCTAAGTTCTCCATCCCTAACTTTGGTCCATAATTTCTGTTCTTTGATCATTGTGGAAGGCAAAAAAACGTGAATGCCCTGGCATAAAATTATCAACCCATCCATCCCCTATGCTACAATCTGGTAGGCTAAGTAATATTTAGAAGAGGAGCCAAACAGCAAGCGTAGAGGTAGCCAATGATTTGCCAACCTTGTAACTTCCTCTCATTCCTTCCAGTGAACTTGGAGTTAGGTAACTTGATTGAAGGTTGATGTCAGACACTTTCACCATGATGTCCCTGTAATTTCCCCTGTGACGTGCAGTAAATGGAATTGTAATGCATACTGGAAATGGAATTCTCTTTTCCATATCTGAGCACTCAACAGTGATGACATTGCTGACCAACTCTTCATAATCACTCACTATGAAAGAACTCATGCTGTTAATTATTCGGCATTCTAGATATTGTAGAATGTGTGATGGTGCTGTGATATAACAAGACACCTGGGGGCCAGTATCATCACTCAGCACATCAAGATACCTGCAAGGGGAAAAAAGGACGTTGCTTTTACAATTATTTTGTTTATGTCTCTTATAGCTAAGTATATAAGAGCCTAAGCTCTATGGTCACATTGTCTTCATGTGAATCCCAGTTCTCTAACTTACTGACTCTGTAACCTTGGGCAATATGTCAACCTCTCTGTGCCTCAGTTTCCTCAACTATAACATGGAGATAAAAATTAACCAACCTAGTGAGAATTAAATGAACTGTTATATGTAAATAATTAAAAATACATACCTGGAACATAGTAGGTATTATATATTAGCTATTATTACTGTTACTAGTGTTATTACTATTGTAATGTGAGTAGTTGATTCATTTCTCAGTTTTGTTCACTTCACAATATGAATCTGAAGATTGCTGATAAACCAAGTATTGATACTTGAATAGTTTCTTCAGTTTTGAGGAGGGTAAATATATATCTGGTATTGGAATTATCTAAACACATTAGATTAAATGATGATGTTTATTTCATCATTTAGAAAAACTGAGAAAGGTACAAAGTACTGTGAACTTATGACTAATCAAGGTAATTAGAAACAGAATATTTACAATTCTCAAAGAATTAATCCAAGAGCTTATTTTGACCAAAAACTTGTTTTGCCCATTTGTTTTACTCTTGCTTTTTATACCATCACCTTCGCAAAAGATTTTTCAGTCTTATAGGATTGAATTCAAATTTGAAATCAGTCACTTGCTCTTTGTTTCACCTTAAACATCAATTATTAATATTAAAATAGCTAATATTTTAGTTCTTTCTATGGATCAGGTTTTAGGCTATACATTATTTCATTTGATCCTCAAACTATGGGTTCAGGCAGTTAATTCATCACCATTTTACAGATAAGAAAATGTTGGTTTAAAAAATTTTACTTGCTGAAGATTACACAGATGGTAAGAGAAGTAGCAATAATTGAATCCATCTACCTTTTAACACAAAGGCCTGAACTTCTTAATATAATATCATACTTTCTCAAATCATTCTAAAGCCCTGTTTTTTTTATCCATTACATACTGAAACTAATATCTAATACACAATAGTGTGAAGGTTAAATGAGGTAAAATGTTTAAATTTCTTATAAAATGTGTTTGCATAAAATGAGTGCTCAATAACTGTTAGATCTCTTCATTAACAATACCAGCTTGAGTTTCTCCTTTTCTTGCTACTTCTCATTCAATACCAGTGAAATGATTGAAATATAGACAATGACAGAGAGAAATAAGTTCTATGTAAAATACAGCATTAATACTCAGTTTTAGAATAATCAGATTTTAACTATTTTTCAAGTATTAGTAACTTGAATTTCATAGTGCATTTTAACAGGGAAATGTAAAAAAAAATGTAGATGGTTATTTATTTAAATTTACAATTCTAAACCCATAAATTTAGAAGGAATAAAGAATTACCCAGCCCAATGATCTGTGTGAGTATTCTCTGATGATGGTGATTATAGCAATTCAGAAAATTAGAAGCATTGTTTTAGTAGAGGATACAGTGACACAACCTTCAAGAATGAATAACTTGACTTCTGAAAAATGACTTCAGAATGACTCTTCTTCTCTGCCTGGGACCCATCTCAATAGTCTCTGAGAAAAGACTGACCAATGAAGTAGGGTGAGGAGACCTGCAAATGCTTTCATTTCCCCCTAACCCTAAGCAAAAAGATAAGATTCAGCCACTAAGATAGTCACTTGGGTTTATTCTAGTTTTGTTTCCCTTTGAGTCTGGGCACACTAGGACAGTTACACTAGAAAAAATAGGCTTTATTTTCTTTTTTTTTTTACAAAAAGCTATTCAGGGAGGAATCACAACAGATTCTGAGCGAGGTTTTGTTTATGACACTCATGTTTTATGTGGTGTGATGGCCTCCTAGCCTGAGGGATTGCAATGAGTAGTCCGTCTTCTTAAATATGCAAGCCAAGCACAATTGGTTTGGAGGCCTCGAAGAGGAAATCTGTAACTAGGAAACACCTAAAGGAGGTGTGAGAGGGAGTGGTTCAACAATGACTCATTAGTTGATGCTTTGAGTCATTTCTGAGTGTGAGGATCTGAAGTGTTCATGTTTTCCTCAATTGAAATGGGCAGCCACATATAGACTATTTTAGTAGTTGTTTTGAAGGGGCAGTCATTCCTTTGAACCACAGGGGTGGGTCTTACATGCATGGAATGTACTCCTAGGACACTTATAGAATTCATTAAATCTTTCAGACCTGTAGGGACTTCACAGCTAAACTAGCTCAAGCTCTTCATTTCATAGATGAGATAACTAAGGTCCAAGTGAGCAGAATGGCTTGCCGGCGATCATAAACTCATTTGTGGTGCTGTCTTGAAATGGTATAGTGCATCTGGAAGAGCATCCCACACCATGGTAGAGAGGGGAGAAGTGAAGGTTGGTAGTATGTGGGAGGTGGAGAAAGTGAGGGTTGTTGGGGGTGAAATAAATTAGCATACTAACGTTTACCAGAGTGTAAACATGCGCAAAGTGGCAAGGTGCTCTGGCCTTTACATGACTTTTTCATTTGACCTTACCAAGTAATCCCAGGAAGTATAAAATAAAATAAAAAATTAAAAAAAGTGATTTTAAAGTGTCCCTGTTCTGGACAATTATACATTTTAACTACTTTCTCATATAGTCAATTTCTTCCTAATTTAAAGAAACATTTAATAAGTTTGTTTCCTAAAGCTATAGGAAGAAAACAATATTAGTAATAGCAGCTCTATAAATTTTTGTGGGAGTCATTTAAACTGAATTACTGATTATAATATCTTTTGGAGATATGAAATGGAAATATAAAACTTTGTTCATGTATAAATACTATGCATACTGACTACAGAAACACACATATAAATAGGCATATATAAATATCTCTCACATGGTGTTTACTTACTCCTTTTCTATTATGTTGTCTTTTGGCTTTAGCCTCTCTGAATCACTGGGAAGAAGACAATTCACATATTTATTGGCAACATCACATGTCACTGAGGATGTGGTAATCTCTTCTCTTTGGTTTTCTGAGGGCTCTTGCATTTCTCTTTCTGTTGTCTGGATTATGTCATGCATCTCTTCGCTGTTGCCATTTGTGTTCTCAACAGTCATGTGTTCTACTTGTTTATGATCTTCATTTTCTGCATTATCTAGGAACATTTTGTCCTGCGATGCTTCTTGTCCTGTTACAGAGCCATTCAATGATACATTGTTTTCCTTTTCCACACGTTCCAAACTCATATGTGTTTTATTTTTCTTTAACTGGACCTGGTTTGTGTAATGACTTTCCTCTGCATTTGTGGGAGAAACAGTTGCTGTTTCTATGACATTTTGTTCCCCTCTTGCAGCAGTGTCTGTTGCTTTGGTGTCTTGAATGGCAGACATTGTCCTCAGTGGAGTACATTCATCATGCTTGCTGCATAAATTACACATCTTCTTTTCTTCGTTCTTTAGAAGTGTAGCAGTGTTCCCCAAATATTCATTTATTTTCATGAGGCAGTCTATGAAAGAAATGATTTCTACACACACAGACACATAAAAAGAATAAATACAAAGCCAAACCAAATTACCTTTCTCTACTGACATGTAATGAGGTATGGCAAGATGATCTTAGAAACCGACAAAGACCATTATTGGGCATTTTAACCAATTTCCCACTTAAAAAAGAAGTCATTTGTACAACTGTCATTCTTTTAACACATCTAGGAATAGGGGACAGATTGCTTTTTAATATATTATAGAAGAGTAATTCTAATCTCTCTTGCTTGTGAAAATTGTTGGAATATTTGAAGACAGACGTCATGACCTCCCCATAAGGCTGTTCAATTGAAGTCAACATCTCCCTCAGCCATTTCTCACTTGGTACGATTTTGAGACTTGTTCTTTCTCCTTTGAACATACTCTAGTTTATCAATTATCCACTTATAATTATTTGCCTAAAATTTAGCAAAACACTCCAGATGAGACTTGGGTAGACACATACCATAGCTACATTATTTCTGCTGATGTGGGTTGTATATTGAGTATTTTGTTTGTTGCTATGAGAATTGGATTAGGTTTACACTATTCCTCCTGTTGAGCTTGTGATCACTGACAATTTTCAAATTAGTATTGCAAAGAATAGCTCTAATTATACTGGTTCTCTGATTAGAAACTGCAGTGGTTACTCAAGGAGTACCAAACCAAGTCAAGTCTCTTCACTCTGGTGTAAGCTCTCCCCGTGATCTGATCTGATATAATTTGTCACTCCATCCCCACTTCTTACCATGCTCCTGTTTGTTCATTTCTCCTCCCCTCACAGCTGGGGTTGCTTGATGGTTTCCTGCAGGCTTAGCAACTCTCCAGTCTTTAGAGTTCAATTCTAAACTCCGGAATATGAAACTTACGGCCCCATGGCTCAGTGTTTTCAGAATAGTCACTAAATAATTTTTTTCATGAGTCTGGACTTATCTTTGGGCTCGAGCTCTGACAACTTGCTTTTTTTGTCTGGTACCTGAGGCCCTGTCTTTATTTTGAACTCCTGTTCTGGCAGCTGAGTCCTTATCATTTTCTATGAATAACTATGTGTCTTGATGTGTTGCCTAGGGCCACATTTAATTCTCTGCAGAGACTAGAATCTTGACTCTGACCTACAGCCAATGGTCTCTGGGTCATGCTGCCCTGGCACAGATTTCTGTCTGCCCGCTAGACTGAATTTCTTAACATTACCTGCCCTGGATTCCTGATTGATGTGACCTGCCCACTTGTCGTGACACTATATTATTTAAAATTGGATTTCAAGATGTCACCTACTGTCTTATCTAGACTAACTGTTGTCTGAGAGCATATTCATCAGATACCACGTTCTTCCTGCGGAACTGTACTTCTCTGCATCTATAACTGGGCCTATTCCCAAGAACCCGAAATTCTTAGTGTGTGTGTGTGGAGGGGGAGGGTCCAGTTTCACATCCCAGCTCACCCTAGTCTTTCCAGAATTTTTGCAATTAATAGGTTCAAACTCAAATGAGTCTAAAAATAGAATATCATAGTCCAATGTAGAGAAACTGCATGTTTTGCCTCAAAGTAGATCTATATTTTCTTACCTCTAAGTCTTGGATCCTGCCAAGTATACCTCTGCCTAGAATGCTCTTTCAAAATTCCCAATTTCTAACTCATATATTCAATTCACTCCTTGAGCTTCAGTTTAAATACCACATTTATTCTAGCAAAATTCCCCAATCCCCACCCTAAAAATAGGATCTCACCTGCTTCTGAAGATTTCACACACTCTATTTGTATGTTTCTAATGCAAATGGCCTCGATGTGCCTTGGATTATCGTGTATTTATCTCCTCTTATTTTCCCTATTATATTGTTAGTCTCTTGTGGACAGAGACTCTATTGTAGCCTTCTTTGTATGCTTCTAACCCCTCTTAGAGTGGCTACTTGATCAATAATTTTTAGAGAAAGAATAAATTAAAGACTTGCCTTGTGCCCAAGTGCATTGATTCTCCTTGTCAAGCAGTCCATAGAGCTGCTGGCAGGTGGAGCGTAGAGCCCCTGCGGTATGCTCCAGGAGTTGATGAAGGGCCCCGCTGAGCTCCTGACCCAGAAAGACCACCGTGGCTAGCCAAGTGGCCCCACCAGCCCCTTGACCGTTGGCGCCCAGGAGTGCCTGCTTGAGCATCAGGTTTTGTCTCCAAATCTGCTTCAGTATTTGGCCTAGTTTACCTGAGCCCATGTCTTCTGTATCCATTTTATGCTGCAAGAGTGGAACGCTTCTTTCCTGCCAGCAAAGCCTAAAGGTTTAGCAAATTCAAACTTGGCGATCGTTATTTCTCCTAAAATCTAGGAGAGGATCCAATTCAGCTAGCCAAGTACTTTCCTACCACATAATAGTTTATTCAGCTTCTTGTTGACCAGTGAAAAGTTACTAGGTGACCAAAGGAGGGGCGTTCCTGTACCCTGGGTGCCATTGTGTACTGAATAGATTAATCACAGGGGTAGAGCAAGCTCACACAATCCCATTCTCCATGGAAGTTTCACTTGTTCAATATACTATGGAAACTCCATATGCTTTTCAAGTTTCAAGGCAACAAAATAATGATTCCGTAGTAAGATGAGTTTATTAATCAAAGGTAACTTGTTTGAACAATACTGCTAATAAGATCCTTATGTGATACTTAAAAATATTTATGAATGCAACAATATGATGCCTGAATTCCATCAGAATATTCTGGGATTGTGGAAATTGTGTATACCTGAAATAAAATTGGCTATAAGTTAATAATTGTATAACCAGGGTATGATTACATATGAGGTCTTCACAGTTCTCTCTAATTAGCATATATTTATATATTTTTAATAATAAAGACTTTAAAAATATTTCTTTGCTGGGACACAGTCTATTACCATTGGTTAGGTAAGTGTAATTAGTACCTTCTTACATGGCACATATTCAGTGAGATTGAGATAGGTACTTGGCCTGTTTATTCTTTGATAATTTCTCTCTAATTGGATAAAATGCCCTTTCACTAGAAGAAAGCAAACCTGAAAAGTGGCTTCTCTGCTGTAACAAGGATTCTTCGCCATGTATAATTAAAACATAGCTACAGCAAGTTCTCACCACTGCTGGCCCCAGTTGGCACATTATACATGAGGCCATTGCGATACAAGGCTTGATATCGGGGGGCCTTGAGGGTGTGAAGAGGAGCTCAGAACAGCCTGCTTCCTCTCCTGCAATGCGTGTCCTCTAATAAGGAAGAACAGAGAGCCAGAGGAGAAGAGCTGTGCATTTCACACAGCCTCCGGTTCTCTCAGAGGTACTGGAACAAAATGAAAGCTTTTCAAAGGGGTGCCTGAATGCTTTCCTCCCACAGGCATCACATTATCTCACCTTAAGTACTAGGGTTTTTAGAGCTCATGACACCTGCGAGACGAAATGGGGAAACACAAGTGCAGTGAATAAAGAATAAAGAATGAATGCCACAGGCCTAAGTACTGTTCAAGCTGCTGTGGTCTGAAGAATCTGAAAGAAAAGGAAAGGAGCAGTGGTGGCCAGGGTGGGGGGCTCAATCTCTAGGAAAAATGTTGTTGGTCAGTGATTTTTCTGTTCACTGAAAAAAAAATCTTTTTGGAGAGGTGAATCCATATCATAAAACAACTTTTTTAAAACACCTTTTGCCCTGGTCTCAATACTAAGAACTTTCTGGTTCAATTTTAATTTATATTTTTCTTTAACTCCTGAAATATATGTGTAATTCTCAATAATAATGTATACATGGCTTTAATTCAATGCCAAGTCTGAAAACTTTCTATAGCATTTACTGATGGGAATAAGGGCTATCTAAGTGCTGGGAATAGGGCTTTTTAGGACTTTGGAGAGGCAGGCACATGACCAAATTATTACAATACAGCTTAGACTGTGTTGAAAGCTAGAGCAGAAGTATGAATAAACAGTATCACCAAAGCTCTGAGGGGTAAAAATTTAATCCTGATTAGAGGCCTAGGAGATGTTTGAACTAGAGCTACAAGATGCTCAGGATTTTGGCAGCCTAGAGAATGAAGGGAAGACATGGTCCAGCATAGGAAATAGTATGATCAAAGGCATGGAGGCATGAAGTGACATGGTGTGATAAAAATGGAAAAGCATAGCTTTAGAGGAGGGTTCAGTTAATGAATCAGAGAAGTGGTAAGAGAAGTGTCTAATAATGATGGAGATTCAGGAGGAGAAGTTGGAATTTTGTTTGCAGACAAAAAAAAGGAAGTAAATATTTTGGGACCAAGTTAAAATATGCCCTGATCGGTGCTGGAGGGATGCAGATGGTTTATATGGTAGACACACAGGAGCAGAGCAGTGTCAGCACAGGCACGGAAGGGAATCCTTGGAGAGGGGATTTGAAGTAGACTGAATAGAACTTGCTAAATCACCAGTTAGAGGGAGAGGAATAGAGAGCATTGAAAATCCTTCCAATTGTTTATTTCAGAAATATTTATTGGCACTGGGACACAAACTGTGCTTGGTAGTAGAATATGACTAAAAGTTTTACTTTAAGGTGATTGAACAGATGGTAAAACAATTAATTAAGAAATTTATGAAAAACATTAGGCTTAATAAGTAGATAATTTTATTAATTTTGAAGCTGTTGAATTTGAGATAGCTCAGGACAGTTTTTTGGAATGTGTTAGAAATTTAGAAGAAAGGTCAGAATAACATTGGCATATTTGAATATCATCAGTAAGTTGGTGGTGAATGATTTCCTGGAAGTAGAAGAGATCAGTGGAGAACGTATATTATATACATTTTAAGTATTGAATAAAACTGTTAATGAAATGCTAAATCACTGGGCAAATACACGGTTGTTTTTTTTGTTTCCCCCCCCCTTTTAGATTTGTGGGAAAATTCTTTCTCAGGGCAGGGGGAAAAACCCAAAACATTTCTCCTTAGCCTCAGTGACATTTGTTTTCCTCAAGTCTGAACTTGTTCTCTATCTGGCTCCCATGAACATGTAATAATAGCAAAGTGAGACCTACCATAAGCCATGCTGCATTTACTTGTTAAAACAGGCATATGCGTGTTCCTGCATTTTGTGTTCAATTAACTGATGTCACTAACCACAGAAAGAACTGGCATTTGCAGTCAAGATTTGTGACACCCACAATTCACTGCAAAAATTCATCGTGATGGGTTTAGCACTGGGTTAGCATCTTCATCATGGCTACTAGTTATTACGACTACCAACACTTTCTTTTACCTTTTTACCTTCTCCTCTTTTACTTCTTTACTGGGCTTCCACCTATATGAAGGAAGTTAGTATGCAGTCTTGAATTCACACAATACGTAATGTGGTTAAAAAGGCAACAGTTCTTTTCACATGAAAAGTCGCAAAATGAGTAGAGATAAAATTGAAGTAAGTAGGATAGTCACTTATTTAACCTGAAGAAATAAAACTCTTCAATTGACTGAATAACGTATTGATGTTAGACAGAAGGTGAGGACAATACAGTTTGGAAGTGTGATAAAGTGTGCTGTTTTCCATGGAACTTCTGGTGAAGAGTGGTAGGTGTCAGATGTAAGCAAAAGACATAGTCATGGGTATGCTTGAGATCTGATGAGTCAGTATTAGTGCTGTCATCTGATTTTGTTATCTTCTCTGAGTTCCTGTGGTTGCCTACGTCAGAGATTTGGGTACAGTCAGCTCAGACTAATTTTACACCATTTGGAAACTCTTATTGAATATCTGTTCACCTTTTATCTGTTTAGAACAACTGGATGATGAGTGGAAGAAGAAGAAAAAGTGTTGTTTTGTATTTATTTTCCCCCATAATTTATCATGCTGAAGAAATGCAAATTAAATAACAGAACTCTCAATGTGTTTATCAATTTTAAAATGTTGTTAAAGAGCAAGTGTTAAAAATCAAAGCTGGAACTTCAAAAATCAAAGCTCGTTAAACAATGTTGATGAGATACATATTCTATTTCTGCTTCCTCCTGAAATGCCATGGAGAAGGATAAAACAATATATAAACCCCAAAAGAGAATGAATGACATGATGATGAATAAAAGATGTCAACAAACATTTGGGAGATCGAAAGCAGATGGAAAATTGTAAACGATTTAATCAAACAAAGAGAGTAGGTGGAAAATAGACCAATTCTTGCTATAGAATTTCAGAAGGTATCAGAAATTAGAGACATCTAGTACCTCTGAAAGTAAAAGTAAAGTTGGAGTTGTTGATAAGTTTTTGTTGACACAGTTTTGGGAGCTGATGGATTCCTAGATCCCACCCCTCTGCCCCAAATAGCCAGGCAACTGCCCCGCTCTCCCTCCAAAGCTAGAGATTTTCTCTATGAAGAGAGCATAGCAGAGGGGCAGGCGGCCTGCGCTGAGCAGAGACCCGGAAGGAGGCAATGTGATGACAGTCAGGGTTAAGGGGAATTCACAGTTTTAAGTGGTGAGGTCCTATTCTAGTTTTCTGCTCAGCTCCAAGAACAGAGACTAACAAGCATAACCTCTCAGGCAGAAGGTTAGAGGTTTCTTCTCTAGAGTAACCGAACACCCCAAAAGAAAACCCTAACAGTAGTGAAACTTTTAATGTCCCTCCCTCTAGTCCCCACCCAAAAAGATTGCCCTTCTTCTGCCAGATCATTGACAATGAAGCACCTTGTCATAAGCCCTATCTATTTATGTAAAGTTCCCAAACCATGCTCCTAATACTTTACTTCTAAGTATAAAATAACAGCCAAGGAGGTGAGGCATTGGTAAAAGCCCCTGATATAATACTAGCAAGTAAAATAAACACGAATAAAGCACTTGAAAAAAAAATAAAGCCAACACAAGGAAGAGAAGAAAATATCAAATCAATCTACATGTAACATTCTTAGAGTCTGGGATCAGAGAAGATAATGCACCCACAAAATAAGAAAAGGTTTTCTAAAAAAGGAAGTATTCAGACAATAAGAAAGACCTTTCAGAAATTAAAGTATGATAACAGAAATATTTTAAATTGGTATGTGGTTATGAAGAAACAGTTAAGGAAAACTCCCAGAAACTCAAACAAAAAGACAACGAGACAGTAGGAAAAAAAGGAGGTTAAAAATATAAATGGTTTAATCCAGATGGTTAATTAATATGAGTCCTAGAGAGAAAAAACAGAGGAAAGACATTATCAAAAAAATAATACAAAAAAACTTTCCCAGAAAGGAGGATTTGAAATCCCAAATCGAAATGGCCCAGAACAATACATGCAAATAAAAGAAATGTATAATGGTCATATCATCACGAACATTCAAAACGCCAAGGACAAATATCCTAATAGCCTCCAAAGAGGGAAGAAAAGTCATGTTTAAATCAGAAGGCAATGGATTCCACAGTACCA